GCAGGGGTCTTATATGCATTGTGCCTGTGGCACTTGTGCACACTTATTTTTTTATTTTATATATTTTACACCATTTTTCATTTTTGCACAATGTATACATTTTCATCTTGGTTATAGTCCCCATACAATTCCCACCCCTCCTTCTTTTGATGCTACGCCCTATTTCCTCCGCCCCCTGTAGTGTGTCTCTCATTTGCAGTTGCTTATTGATTCTGATTGTTACTTTTTTGTAATTAGTCTTTTTCCTGGTCCCTGATTTAGGTTTTCTAAATTCCTAAATAGGGGATCCACTTATCCCCTATTATTGTCTACCCAGGAACCTTGACTCGGGGACTACATTCCAATGGACTTTGGCAAATGCCTATCACCCGCGTCACTTCATTTGAAAACAATCTTTTGTTCATGTGAGTGCGCATACAAGAGCTGGGGTACAGTGGCCAGATGTGGGGGGCGAGAGGATTCACCAGAGACAGAATGGGGAGCAGAACAGGCAGACTGACTGAAAAACACTTTTGAGGGGATCAGCGGGCATGACAGGAGAGGTCTGCTGTGGACCTGGCCAGGGACCGACTCATGCCACAGTGGCTACAGATAGCTTCATAGGTTGAGTCTTAATCCCTTGTGCCTCCACATTCTAAGTTTTTATGGTCTCTGCTTTGTCTGAATCATTTACTACTCTTACACACTTTTTGCTGTTATGGGGGGGGTGTCGGTTCTTAATAAAACTGACAATGGGTAGACTTAAGCTTCTAAGGTCTTTGCTTCTGTCCTCCACGTATGTGTCGTCTCTGGTAAACATGGCATCCCCTACAACCCTCAAGGTCAGGGCATAGTTGAACGTTAAGACTACCTTAAAGGTTATGATTCAAAAACACAAAGGGGAAGTAGTATCCCCTAAACCTGCAGATGTATTATCTCAAGCCCTGATTACTTTCATTTTTCACAACTGGCATGACGGCCTTATACCAGCAATGGTGCTCATCTTCCCCAAGCCTCTAAAGTACCTGCGGGTACACTGGAAGGATCCTGCCCATGGGCTTTGGAAAGGACCATCTCCGTTGCTTATCTGGGGGCGAGTCTTATGGTTGGGGGCTCCCCGGTGGCCAGTGGGTTGGGTGCGCACTACGAAGCTGTCCACAGCCGGTGAGGCGCGGGATCCACAGCCAGGGAGCTACCCACATGGCTAGGCAGAATTCTCCTCTCGCTTCAGTGCTCCCCTCAGCAGTGAAGTTCAGTCAGTCCGCCAGTTCTGATCCCCACAGCCGGTCAGCCCCGCACCAGCGGTGCCCCGGCTCTTCATCAGCCTCGCGCCAGCCCTTCTCTGCCCCCGGCTCAGCGCAGGCCCGCCCCCAGCCCCACACCTGGCTCATCGTCCAGCCCCACCCCAGCCCCACCCAGCCCCACCCCCTCTCATCGTCATCCCTCTCCAAGCTCGCCCATAGCCCCGCCCAGGCCCCGCCCCCAGCTCACGTCAGCCCCGCCCCAGGCCAGCTCTCCCTCGTCATCATCCCCGCCCAACGCTTGCCGGCAGCCCCGCCCCAGCCCTGCCCCATTTTATCGTCAGGCCCGCCCCAGCCACGCCCCCACGTCATCAGCCCCGCCCCAGCCCCGCCTGCGGCTCTTCGTCAGCTCTGACCCAGCCCCAGCCCCGCACATCATCAGCTCTGCCCCCGTCCTGGCTCACCAGAAGCCCGACCCAGCCCCGCCTGCAGCGCTCCCGCAGCCCCGCCCACCACGCGAGCCCCGCCCACCACTGAGCACCGCCCACCAGCATGTCCCACCACTCGATCCCCGCCCACCACTCGAGGCGCGCCCACCAATCGAGAACCGCCCACTAGCCCCTCCCACAAGCCCGGCCCACCACTCGAGCCCAGTCCGCCTGCCCCGCCCACCAGGCGAGCACTGCCCACCAGCCCGCCCACCACTCGAGCCCCGTCCACCAGCCCCGCCCACCACTGAGCACCGCCCACCAGCGTGTCCCACCACTCGAGCCCGCCCCACCACTCGGGCCCTGCCCTCCAGCCCCCGCCCACCACTCCAGCCCCCGCCTACCAGACCCGCCCACCAATAGAGCCCCGCCCACCAATAGAGCCCCGCCCACCAATAGAGCCCCGCCCACCAGCCCAGCCTAACACTTGAATCCGCCCACTACCCAAGCCCCGCCCACCACTCCAACCCCGCCCACTACTCGAGCCCCGCCCGCCAGGCGAGCCAAGCCCACCACTCGAGCCCCGCCCACAACTTGAGCCCTGCCCATCAGGCCAGCCCCGCCCACCAGGCCAGCCCGGCTGTGGACCACGCGGGGCCGCCCCGGGCCGCGGGGCGGGGCGCGGGTCCTCTCCTCCGTGGAAGTGGCGCTGGCGCCCTCCTTCCGACCGGCGCAGGAAACAGGTGACCGCGGCGTGGGGCGTGGACGCCGGCGAGGCGGGATGCCTGCGGTGCGCGGAGGGGCAGGCGCCCCGGTGTGCGCGCCTCCCGGGGCCGCGAGGGCGGGGTGCAGCCGCGAGGGCGGCGCCGGGACCTCGGAGCGGGCTGGGACTCCCGGGGTCTCCTGCTGCCTCCGGGGCGGGCTGCCGGCGGGGAGGACCCGGCGGTCGCGGCAGGCGGCGGTCCCCGAAGTGGTCTCTCTGCCCGCCTGCGTTGGGGGATTGTGAGGCCGGCCTCGCACCCCGTGAAGGGCAGTGGGCTGGGAGGAGACGCATCCCTGACCTCACGCCTCCTCCCACGGGCGCCGAGTCACGGAGCGTGGGGTGTCGCCACCCCATGCATATGACCCCCGGGCTCTCCCCTCCCTCTGATTCCAGGTAGACACCTTGCCAGGGGTTGTGCTTGTGTGGAGCCTGGGTGAGAGTGAGTTCTGCGTGGCCCTCCGGATCCCCTCTGCTTTCAAGGGCCAATGAGGTACGTGACCTGGGTCAGATTTGTATGGAGACAAAATTTACTCGAGCAAAGGCAACAAAACAGACACAACCATGGAGGGCACTGACTGCCATGGCACTCAGGTACCTGTTTCTCCTCAGCTCTTGTACTGAGAAGGTTCTGTAAATGGTTTCTGAATCCACAAGGCCCTTGGGGAGTGGACGGGTCAGTAAACTTCCCCTGAAGCTCCCACCCTAACCCCACAGGAAGTGCAGAATAAGTGGCAACTGCACTTGTCCTCCTCTGTGGCTGCTGAGATGTGATTCATGGGTAACGACCAACTCACCCTCCTACAGACCCAGGGCTTCTCCCATGTGTGTCCTCTGGTGTCGGATGAGGTTTGACTTCTGACTGAAGCCTCGCCCACACTCCCTGCAGACACAGGGCTTCTCCCCTGTGTGTGTCCTCTGGTGTGTGAGAAGGTGTGACTTCTGACTGAAGCCTCGCCCACACTCCCGGCAGACATAGGGCTTCTCCCCTGTGTGTGTCCTCTGGTGTGTGAGGAGATGTGACTTATGACTGAAGCCTCGCCCACACTCCCTGCAGACACACGGCTTCTCCCCTGTGTGTGTCCTCTGATGTGTGATGAGGTGTGACTTACTACTGAAGCCTCGCCCACACTCTCTGCAGACACACGACTTCTGCCCTTTGTGTGTCCTCTGGTGTGTGAGGAGGTGTGACTTCTGACTGAAGCCTCGCCCACACTCCCTGCAGACACAGGGCTTCTCCCCTGTGTGTGTCCTCTGGTGTGTGATGAGGTGTGACTTGCAACTGAGAGAGAGAAGGAAGGAGCGGGAGAGAGAGGCAGGGCAAGGGAGGGAGTGGGTGGGAAAGGGAAGAGAAGGGAGCGGAAGAGAGGGAAAGTGGGTGAAAAGGAAAGAGAGGGGAGGGAGGGAGAAGTAGGGGGAGGGAGGGATGGAAGAAGGGAGGGTGGAAAGAAGGGTTAAAGTAGGGTCATTGTCAGGGAATGTAGAAAACTTAAATAAGAGACCAGGAAAGAGAATACTATAAGAATCGAAATATCAAAATCAACTAAGATCTGTGAACCAGAGGAACTCTAAGGGGGTGAATCAGGTTTGGGGTTAAAAAAGTGGGTTACAATAAAATATAAAAATAAAATTGAAAGAAATTATTTTGTTGTTTCTTTAATTAAGCAAATTTTATAGTTACCTCATTTGGGCTCTGATATCCTTAATGAATGGAATATCATGGAAGTGATACAAAAGTACTGTTATACATAGGTGTAAGGCTATACCGTTAGAGTACTAGTGCTTTTGCTAAGGTCTCTTGTAAGAAATCTAAATCGATTTTAATTATGCCAGGCTAAATACGTGGAGTATCTATGGAAAAGAGCAGGTGGGGTATGATAGTCAATCAAGAAATACTGATGAGAATCACATGGGTTATAATGGAGAAGAAACAAGCCCTAGTATGGCCTGTGTAGATTTCCTGTGCTGGAGAGTTGTGAGATAATATAGTAACAAATTGTTAGCTTTAGCTCCTAAATTTGGTATAGGTTATGCAACAGTGGATATAAGCAGAGCACATATATATTAATAAAATATGTGTAGAAGAGGTTATGTTTGAAGACAATGCCTCAATGTTTACTGATGGCAAGAAATTAGTAATTAAATATTTTTCTTCTCCATGTCATTGTGAATGTCATTTACTGGAAACCAATGGATAATAATCATGAGGTATGATGTCAACAATTTTATGAATTATAATTATTAATTCCAAAAACACTTTTTTAAATGAAAGCCTCATAAAACATATTTACTATAGCCCGTGGGTTAATTAAAAGCTTGAGGAATTGTATAATGGTCAATGAAGGTACTTGGAGTAAAAGGAAGAGGGCCCAACTAAAAGAGATTCAGCATACCCGGGGTGAATAATCACAGTGTGGCCTTTTTACTGCGTATATAAGGTTCAAGGGAAAAAGACAGAAGTCCCTGAGCACCTGAAAATAAAAATTATTTTATTCCATTAGGATAACGTCAGCATAGTATGACTGCGAATGAAACCTAACTTGGAAAAAAAAAAAAAACAACCTAACTTGACTAGAACCCCGTGAGGTAACAATGCGGGGGGTGACGCATGCCTAGGCAACCACGTGTGCTAGGTGCCGGGATACAGGTGGTCTCGGTCGTTTACTCGCTGGACACTGCGGAACCCACGGAGGCAGGAGGCGGGCTGGATCGACACACACTAACTGTGGGAAGCTCAACTTCCTGGATGGGAAGCAGGAAGTCAAGAAAGCCAAAATTCCGTTACTTTAATTGAACACCGAGCGGTGAAAGACAGGTGGTTTTCCACCTGTTCGTCTAGATGGAAAGCTCAGATTCCGAAGATGAAGGCGACGGAGCGGAGAGCCTCGGCGGAAGTCAGACCGACCGACTCCTCCGGGAAGAAGATTTCTTCCGATTCGTAAATAATCTGACTGTAGAGGATTATAAACTTATGCGGGATAACAATTTGCTTGGCATCCCAGGAGAAAGTACAGAAGAAGAACTGCTGAGAAGACTTCAACTTCTTAAAGAAGACGCACCACAAAACACAGATGAAAACACAGGTATGTTTCACTTTCGGGGGGAATAGGATGGGAGGGGTAAGGAACATAATATTCGCCAAATATTATATCGAATGGGGTACAAATTAATTTGGTGCTAAGTAACTTCTCATTTAAAACAAAACAAAACAAAACAAAAACTGGCATTTACTTATCTGGTGGTAAAAATGCCAAGGTGTTTGCCCCCTTATCATATTTAGCTGTTTTTAATTGGGAAAATTTATACAATAGCCTGTGGATATTTTTGTTGGTTTTCCACCTCCAATAAAAGTTCCTTCTACTTGCTAAATTATTTCATATGTCATTAGACATAGGACTTTCATACTCTAATGATTCTCAAACGGAGGTAATTTTGTTTTCTCCCCATACGGGAGTATCTGGAGCTATTTTGGCTTCTCGCAATGGAGGGTGGCTGTTACTGGCAGGTAGCAGATACAGGACAGGGATGCTGCCAAACATCCCACAACGCACAGGATGGCTTCTCAAAAAAAACAAATGACATCAAAATGTAAATATTGCTAAAGTTCAGAAACCCTGCTCTCACCTAAGGTCTCCTGTTTATCTCCCAGTATAAAGTTGACAATTTTACTCTCATGAAGTGCATGATACGGTGGTTTGGTTCTTAAATATTGCCTACTTATTTACTATGCAACGTTCACCCTACTCATTTTCTCTCCCCTTCATTTCAGACCAGTCACAAATCTTGGTAACTTTAAAGGGATACAAATAACTTTCAACCTATAAACCTTCTTTATATGTGTGTAATAGCTAGAACAGACTTTTTTAATTTTTTAAAAAAATATTATTTTAGATATATCTTACATCATTTCTCACAACTTTTCACATTCTTCACATCATCTTTCACATTTTTGCACAATATATGCATTTTCATCCTACTTGCTCATGGTGAGTTATGTTATGGACTCGTTGGAATCTGACAGCTAAAATCTTATTGCAGGTTTTTGCATCAGTGCTCATTAGGGAGATTGACCTGTAGTTTTCTCTTTTTTTGAGTTGCCCTTGTTCGGTTTTGGTGTTAGTGTAATGTTGGCTTCATAGAACGTGTTTGTTATTGTCCCTTCCTTCTCAATATTTTGGAAGAGTTTGTGAAGGATAGGCACTAATTCGTCTCTGAATCTTTGGTAGAATTCATTTGTAAATCCATCAGGCCCTGGGCTTTGGTTTTGGGGGAGGGTTTTGATTACCATTTCAATTTCACTGCTTGTAATTGGGCTGTTTAGGTGTTCTGTTTCTTCTGTGTCCAGTTTTGGGTGATTGTAAAGTTGTAGGAATTTGTCCATCTCTTCTGGATTGTTGAACTTGTTTGCCTATAACTGTTCATGGTAGTTCTGATCATTCTTTTGATTTTAGAACAGAATATTAAAAAAAAACACTTTATCAAAAATTACCTAGGATGAGAGCCTAGCAATAATGTAATAAACTAATAAGAATTAGACAATAATGTGTAACTGAATTTATAAACCAGCACTGCACATTAACTGGTATTTACCTTGTTTAACTTCATTAGTATTTTGATAGTGAATGAAAAATTGTGGAATGCACCAATCCTCCCAAAGTGGTACACAAGACTGTATATGATGAAACACTGAAATTGGAATTTCTCCAGATTCCTTTTCAAAAATCCAGTTCTTCAAATTCATACAGGGTTAGCTAACTTTTTTCATAACTAATAAATTGAAACATTTCTGCCTTATCAATTTGGACAGTGCAGTTTACAAACTATTAACTATAAATATGAGCTCTGCCCAAAGCATAAGCATTTTATTTTTTATTATTATTTATTTATTTTTAAAATAAATTTTATTTTTATATTCCCCATACAATTGCAACCCCCTTATTTTGACCCCAATCCCTCTCCTTCCTACCCCCACCCCCCTTAGAGTGTCTCTGGTACATAGTTTTTTGTTGATTTTGATTTTCACTTTCTTATCATTATTCATTTTCCTGGTCCCTTATTTAAGTTTTCTAGATTCCTGCTATGAGTGAGACCAGCCGGTATTTTTCTTTTTCTTTCTGGCTTATTTTGCTGAGCATGATCCCTTCCAGTGCCATCCATGTTGCTGCAAATTGCATGTGTTGATCTTTTTTGAATGCTGAGTAATATTCCATGGTGTATATGGACCACATCTTCATCCAGTCATCTATTTTTGGGCGTTTGGGCTGTTTCCAAAGCTTAGCTATTGTTAAACAGTGCTGCTATAAACATAGGGGTGCAGGTGCCCTTTGGAATTGATGTTTCTGTGTCCTTTGGGTAAATCCCTAGGAGTGGAATTGCTGGATCATATGGAAGCTTTATCTTTAGTATGTCCAGAAATCTCCACACAACTCTCCATAGTGGTTGGGCCAGTTTGCACTCCCACCAACAGTGCAGGAGAGTTCCTTTTTCTCCACATCCTCGCCAACGTTTGTTGTTGCTAGTTTTTTTAATATGTGCCAAGCATGAGTATTTTAATTCTCAGTTTTCATTTTGAACAATGTGTTAGAGTGTCATATTTAATTGTGGTAGTTCCTTTATAAAAAACACCCGCCCTCTCTTGCTAACAGGTGGGGGAGACTCCTCAGATGATGTGTCCAGTGGTGACTCTCTAAGAGACTGGCTTAACTCTGTTACACAAACTGAACATGTGTCAGGTGAGCAAAGAGAAAACCAATCTTGGAGAGCAGTGACCCAGATTGATCCAAACAGTGAATATTCCAAAATAAATTCAGAAAGAAATGCTAACCATATCGCTGAGAGCTGGAGTAGGGAGAATGAATATGCACCATCTCCAAGACTTCATGGAACTGAAAATGCGGAAGATAGCCAAAGCCAAATGGAAAATTCACCGTGTGAATCAATATATACAAAACCATTTAGGTGTGAACAAAGCACAAATGTCTCATTATTGGACATCCTACCTACCAAAGGTCAGAGGAGAGCAAGAAGCAGAAGCCCAGACCATAGAAGAACCAGAGCTAGACCTGACGGTAGGTCACCTTCAGATTTACTGATTGAAATCACAGAAGGATTTCCTCATGGCATAAGACCTTGGAATTTTCATGATCTACGGGGAAATGAAATTGAAAGATATTCTACAACTCAGCACCAAGAAACATCCAGACAGCCAGTAACTACACCCGAGTTGCAAAACAGAGGTTCCTCTGTAACCTCTGAAATAGGAAATGTCACTCAAGATGAATATTCTTCAGACTCAGACAGCATTGGTGATCCTTGGGGATCAAGGTTGATGAATTCAGCTATACTCTCTGATACAGAAGAAGGAAGAGTTCCATCTAGAGAAAATTATCAGGAAGACAGCATAGTTAGTAGAACTCAGTTAACATCTGAGAGACCAAACAATGCTGAGACATTAGAAAGTGAAAAAGGAAGACTTAGCCGTATGTTCTCACATTCTGAGCAGGCTGATAGGATAGCTTATGACAATACCAATAGACTTTCCCTTCACAGACTTTTAAGTTCTTGTTGCAGTGATGCAACATCTTCTGCAATTCAGAACACATCAGAGCAGACAATGACAGGTTTTAGTGACTCAAGTAACCATATGGACACTACCAACAGACTTTCCCCTCATAGATTTTTATGTTCTTGTTGCAGTGACACATCTGCAATTCAGAACACATTGGAACAGACAATGACTGTTTTTACTGATTCAAGTAACCTTAAGGGCAGTACCAACAGACTTTCCCTTCATAGATTTTTATGTTCTTGTTGCAGTGATGCAACATCTTCTGCAATTCAGAACACATCAGAGCAGACAATGACCGGTTTTAGTGACTCAAGTAACCATATGGGCAGTACCAACAGACTTTCCCATCACAGACTTTTAAATTCTTGCTGCAGTGACACAACATCTGCAATTCAGATCACATCAGAGCAGACAATGGCCGGTTTTATTGACTCAGATAACCATATGGGCACTACCAGCAGACTTTCCCTTCATAGATTTTTATGTTCTTGTTGCAGTGACACAACATCTTCTGCAATACAGAACACATCAGAGCAGACTATGACCGGTTTTAGTGACTCAAGTAACCATATGGATAGTGACAGTAATTTGGAGCCTAATGTCTCAGCACCAAGTCCAGGCATAGAAAGGACATCATCACCAAATGGAAGAGATGGTTCTGGTAATAGTACTTCTGATATCAATGCAATTCCTAGAATTTATTTCCATCCATGTTCGCCATCAGTTTCTAGATCGAGCTCCAACTATGCTCCTAGTTCCAGTTCTACTCCTATTTCTAGTTCCAGCTCCAGTGATAACATTTCAGTCATCAGTTCACAGCTATTTGAAGGCAATGATGAAAGGAGCATATCAGGATTATCAGAGTACACAATAGGGAGTAGACCTATGTCGCCGGTAATGTTTGACGATGGTGACTCTTGGACCTCCCTTAATCTGGATCACTTTTTCCTCTTAGAAGAAGATCAGCATCAATCTACAGGTCTCACCAAAGTCCAAATTGACAACTTGGCTATAAGATCATTCGGTGAAACTGATGCATTGAAACCCTGTAGCATATGCATCACAGAGTTCACAGAAGGCAACAAGATCCTCACACTACCTTGTACCCATGAATATCACGTACACTGCATCGATCGCTGGCTGTCAGAGAACACTACCTGTCCTATTTGTCGCAGGGAAGTAGTTGATCCTGCTGAGAGGGAAAATTCTAATTGAGATACCAATTCTCAGCTCTAAAAGCTGTTTTAGTGATGGGCAAATGATGCTCACCTGACAACACTCACCTGTCTCACGTCCATGTTTGGAGTAATACTTAAATATAATAATCTGAATGTAAACTGAAAATTTTATGCAATAATATGAACTGAATCATTAGTTGCTGAAGGAATTATTGGATTGCCCCCCAAGTTCTCCTCAATAACAATAGTAAATGTTAACAGTGTGAACTGAATTATTGGTTCCTGGAGGAGTTATGGACTTTTCTCAATTTTTCTGTTCCATAATGGAAAGTATTAGAAACTCAATATTATCCTTCCTGACAATAAAAATTATCTTCCCACTATAATGAGTTACTTGATTTTAACAAACTTCACAGGTACACTGGGTTGGGATCTTCCTGATCCTGACTTGATTTTAACAAACTTCACAGGTACACTGGGTTGGGATCTTCCTGATCCTGAGAGTAACATCTTAAAATGATATAATAAGTCCAGATAAATCCTAGTAGTCTTTTATCTAGTCTTATAAATCCCAGATATCTCATAGTCTTGTCCCATCTTGCATGCACACATAAAGAAACAGCAACCAAAATGATTAAAAAATTTATTAGAGTCACTCACCAAAAGAAGTCATGCTATTTTCATAAAATTCCATAGAAAACTTTGAAAAATTTCCAGTGTTTCTCCCTAGCAGATTGTCCCACCTCCAGGGAACCCTGAAATTTCTCCCATCCCCCATTATCAGTGTATCAGGGTCTTGGACAAAAATTGATGGCACGCTTGAAAAGTGTGATAGAATAGCATTCAATGAAGAGACTACTTACTAATGTAAAGAATGAAGGACCCTGAGGTTAGCAAGTCTGATGTTATTACCACTAGGCCCAAAGGCACATATAGAGGCAACAGTTCTTACAACCCAGAAATGTCCTACAGTTGTTGTAGATGGCCGCCCAAAAAGAACTGTGACCTTGGGCCTCCCTCATGGTGCAAGGGGTTGAGATGTAGCCTATGAAGCTATATGCAGCCACCTGCAGCCCAGGTTCCATCCCCAGTCAGGGAGCAACCCACATGGTGCAGCAGACCTCTCCTGATTTTCCCGCTGCTCCCCTCAGCAGTGTATTTTACTCAATCCACCTGTTCTGCTCCCTATTCTGTCTCTGTTTAACCCTCTCACCCCCCACACCTCTGGCCTTTACCCCACACCTCTTGTATGCATAAATAAATAAATATTTATAAAAGATTATATCTTTATAAATGAATGGTAGCCACTGACAACTTACACCCTGAGAGGAAGGAACCATGGGAATAAATACCATGACTACTGTCCTCCTGATTCCTTTCCTCCTGCTTATAGTTCACATTAGCTAAACTCAACCTGAATACACAGCATAGGTTGATAAAGCTCCTAAGGAAGCATGGTATAACATTTGGTTATGATTAGTCATGGTCTTAGCGTGATTCTTTTATGGCAAATTTTATACCAGTCTTCCTTTCCAATAAGAACACAGTAAATGATTTTTCTTCTAATTCTGCCCAGTAGCATCTTTCTTTCTTTTTTCTCTTTTTTTTGTATACAGGCCAGTAAAGCACATTTGGCTTAAAAATTAAATCCTATTTTAGGAGAGAGTATATGGATTTATAACTTAAAGCAATAGTCATAAAATTGGCATGAAGTGCAACCTATATAAAAGTGGGCACTGTTAAAGAATAGGTGTTCTAAAAATCTTGTGAGTATCCTCATACCCTGTATATATTATGTGAATTGTTAGTAGTCATTAAACTCTGCATTTTTAGTCATTAAAACAGCATCTTTAACATCATAAAAATGTGGGGCTTGGAGAAGCATTATCAGAAAATTCCTTTCTCTCTCATCCATATTCATTTAGGACAGACAATAATTATCAGCCAACTCTAGGCTCTGGGATGTCCATTCAGATATAACTAAGTCACTATACAATTATCTACCACCCTTGAACTTCACATCTTCAATTCCAGCAGTGTATTTTTTAGGAGCTATTATAACTATCTAAAATATATTTTTAAAATTTTTCTTAGGTTTGTTTTCTTGCCTACTCCTACCCCAAAATAGAAGTTTCAAAAGATCTATTTTTTATTTGTTATTGCTACATTTCTAAAGATTAGAACAGCTACTGGGAGTGTGTGTGTATACATATATGATATTATATATACTATATAATCTATAGTATATAATCTATATAGTATAGAATATACTCAATTAAAATATGCAAAATGAGCAAAAATTCTACCAAAGAAAACTCTTAATTATTATTTTTTTGGTATTTTTCTGGTATTGTGGGTTTTTTGAAAGTTTTTCATTCTGTTTCACAATTGTTGGATGATTTCAGTATCCCAGGCTCATTTTTCACCCTTTACTCTCCAAAGAAATATTTTAATATATTTACCAAGGATCCTGTATTTCATGTATTCATCCTAGATTTCTTTCACTTAGTTAACATAATTGTATACTATTCCTTGCTTGTTAAGTTACAACACCTGCCAAACCTTTTACAAATTATTTTATTCATTCAACACATATATACTTACCTAGACTATGTGAGGCCCAATGCTGGGTGCCAGACTTAACAAGTATAGCACCTACGATAAAGAAATATATTGAATTTTAAAGCACACTGATGAAAAAACATATGGTGACACTCCATGTGATGAATGCCCTGAGAGAGATTCAGGATAGGGTGTAATGAAATGATCTAGGAGGGACAATGTACTCTAATAAGAAGTCAAAACTCCCTACAATTAAGTGGTATCTGAACTGTAGCTTGTAGGATGATAAACAATTAGCCAAATAAGAAGGTCATTCATTTTATTCTAAGCAAAATGAACACTGCAAGCAAACATGTGATACATAGCAGAGCACTGAAAATTCAGAGATCAGTAAGTAATGCAATGTGGTTGAATCATCATACTCTAGAGCAGAGTAAGAAGAATTGAGTATTTTAGCAAAGCATGAAGACATGAGGCAGACAGGTAACAGCTGGCTTTGTATATATCATGCTGAAGAGTTGCACTAGATTTACCAAGTAATGAATAGTCATTGCTATTTTAGTAATAAGAATAAAACTATTCCAATTTGAGTGTGGCCATACTAGCAGGTATGTGCAAAACATATTAGAGAAAAAAACAGTCCTACATATAGAGCTATGACATTATTTGGATTAAAAAAATATATAAAGTTCTGAAGTAATGGTATAACAGCTGAGACATGGATAGATACAGATTCAAGTATTATTAGAGAAGCAAAATAAAATTTGATGCTTGGATAATTTAAAGTTGATCTCAAATTTCCTATTGGGGAGACTGAGTAGATGGTGGGAAATTCTACTAGTATAAGAAATACTACACAACTGGCTTGTCATTGTAGATAGGACAAATGACAAGATTGTATCACTGAGCTTTGAGATGTCAGAGATATATTAGTGGTGATGTTTATCTAGCTCTTACGAATATCCAGTAAGCTTCCAAATTAGAACAAAATTGCTAATTGAAGTCAAAGAAGTACAAGAAGTACTTTTATTGCTTATAAAAGTCTGTTAAGTATTAAAGGAAGAGGGAGATGGATGTCATCTCCCATGGAACAGGAGCAGTAGAAGGTAGTCAGGTACATAGAGATATCAAAGATACCTCAGACACAAAAAGAGAGGTATAAAGACAATCAAAAATATGATGTGACATAAGCCAAGAAAATAGAGTATTTCCAGAAGAGAATGTCAAGAGATTATCTGAAGAGTCTCTCTAGTTCAAAAGTCACTAAATACATTTTAAAAAAATAAAATATTTTATTTAAAAAGATGATTTTAAGTAAAAGCCTAGTACTCTGTCATAATGGACATAATTCATTAAAGACTACAATTCTGTTGAATTTTAAAATGTTTACTTATTTTTGTTATCTTAAGTAACATGCAAAAAATCTTTGTGAATATATCTTTACATTTACTTAAAAAATTACTAGATGTGGAAATTATCAGGTCCAGGGTTATGAATCGTTTTAAGGCCACTGATCTATAATGCCAAAAACATTACAAAGTAATAAAAATTTGCATTCTCCCGAGAAATCTGTCATAATTACCAAGCAGTAGATTACTACCAACATTATGTCATTGTAAACAATAAGGGGGAAAACAATTTTGTCAACAAGAAATAGCTTTTTGTCAAATGATGGGCAAAAAAAATGTTAATTTTTTTAGTGTACTTGATTAGTATTGAGGTTATTAATTTGTCACAAGAGCATTGGGAGTGGGGAACTGCCAGTTTATACTTTCAGTATTTTTAAATATTGTGAATTTTTTTCTGATTTTTTGTATGAGACATCAATTTATATGTATATATTTATATATTATATGTATCTCACTTTAAATATAACATATTTGGGGCTCGGGAGAAAAAAATCAAATATACAACATATATACTATTTATCCCATGTCATAGAACCTGCTCATGTTACCTTTTTGTTAATGGTTATGATTAATATAGTACAATGTTAAATCTATTTTTTATTATTTCCTGCTTCCCATATGCATGAAATGTATACATTCCTTTAAAAATCATATATTCATGTTTGTTTCTTCCCAATTTTAATGTGTATTTCTCTTAAACCCTTCTGAATTACAAATATTGATATCCATCAAAAAAATTCCCTGGTTAACACTGTATAGTATTGAGTCATATCTAGCACCCACTTAAAGGTTCTAAGTAGTAATTCCACCAGTGTTCTAACAAATGCAAAATTTCTTGTTTATAAAAATATACTTTCCTTCATGTTAAAAAAGTCAATCATTTCTAACTTAAAATTTGGAATTGATGCAGAACTTTACAAAGTGACTTTTAAGAATGCACTGAGGTTAATTAAATTATTACTAGTACTATTTCACCTTGCCTGAATGAATCAAAGAAAACCTGTTTGGGCTTATTTTTCTAGACTTTGTGCTTCACCTCTAATTTTAATTTTTACATTAAGAAACTGAGACACTAATGTGAGAACCACATTATTTCTATAAAATCAATTTGAAGCTTTTCCAAATACCCAAGGAACAATTTATATCACTTGAAAGTACTCTCTTGTTTCAACATTATGAATTTCTTGCTCAGTAAAGAAAATACCGTATTCAGTGTTTTTATGCATTTATTCATTGAATCCTTACTCATTTTCTTTCATGATGCTTTACACATTGGTATTTACTACTTTAGGAGCTAAATGCAATCCCTATCTTTCCCAGAAGAAACATTTTAAAAATCAAAATAATGATCATCAATTTATACATTGAATTTTTCAGCTTTGTGTTTAAAGAAGTTAGGTTC